AACCAATCCAACTGGAATAGGGCTAGTCTAGAGTTATGTCCGTAGATTGGCTGTAGGCTTAATTTTCATAATAAGGTATTTATATGGAATTTAATTGTTACTTTACGTAGATATGTAATGATTTTCATTTACATTCTGTAAAGCTTCTAATCTATCTTTTTTCTACTTCATCTGATGTCACAAATTGACAAAAATAATGGTAGAAATGTAGTTGGTCAGTGTTTGTTCTTCAAAACAAGTACTTTCATCAAATTTGATTTGGGGGGGGGGGGTTAACCTAAAAAGCTAGCGTCCAGACTGCCTTAAATTTTAGTTATTTGAATCTCCAGTAATAAGTTTATAGGGCATAAACAGAGATTCTTATTCTGTTACTATTCAAAATTCAGTGAACTCAAACTTTTATGATGACCCAGACACTAACTTTAAGTTAAAGCAGCAATTTTGTTTTTACAGTGTAAACATTTAATGCCTCACATGGCCCAAAGTTTTATTAACACTTCTATAACCTAAGGACAGCTCAACCAGTTTGCATTGAAGTCCCTGTAGTTACTTGAATAATAAGCCTGGGATTTTAAGAGTTTAAAGAAGTTTCTATTCCACTTTTTAGGGAATCTTTTACTTTATGTAGAGCATGTGTCAGGCTCCAGTCCTCGCGGGCAAACACACTGCAGACTTCAGCGCACTGCCTCATTAAACACACCTGATTCAGCTCATCAGCTAATTAGCAAGGTCTTCATGAACTGAATTCAGAGCGTCAGATGAGGGTAAATGCTAATCACTGCAACAATTTGGCCTGGAAAGTCCCCAGTTTGACATGCAGAGGTTCTTTAAAAGGTTCTTCATGCACGTCTCGTTTACAAAAATTTTCCAAAGAACCATCTTTTGAAAGGTTTTTATGGAACCAAAAGTTGTTCTTCTGTAGCATCAGTATATTGACTGAAAGATGAGAATCTCTTTTCAACAGAATTCAATTCAAGGATGATAATTAAGGAGATAATTAAGCAGAATGTGCAAGAGGCGTCTTATGTTATAAATGTGATGGTGTAGCTTAACAAAAGTCCAGAGTGAATCACATAACAAGCTACTGAGGCCTTTAATCTGGATGTCTGTGTGATTTGTCATGACTCTAATTGATGGAGGATGTCTAGCTATGGGCACTGAGGCTTCTCGTCTATGTGTGTGTGTGTGTGTGTATGCAGTGTGTGTTTTGAGCAATGGCAGATATCATCCTCAGCTATATTTCCTGTGGCCAAAGCCAGTGGCCTCCTGCAGAGATGTACGATGCTGTCGATAAGGAGGATATTAAAAAGCGCTCTTCTCTCTCGCTGTGGCAGCTGCTGCCTCAACAGGATCATTTAGAATCATAAAACTGTGTTCTCACTGCCGCCTTACTCTCCGAGGCATACGCAACAACACTGCTAATATAGCACAGTAAACTCTCTGAGACTCTGTAATGTGTTATGTCTCCGTTATGTCTGTGTTATGTAATGTTAAGTCTCTCTGAGAGCTCTGGGCTCACAATGTGCTGGACTCTAGGATCTTAATTACTGCTGAACTTGACAGCGAAAAACTATTTCATGTTTTTCTTATAGCAGAAAGTTTGCCTGATTATGATTACGGCTCTGGGTTGTGTGAATGAACTTGCCATGTTGCCAGGTTATAAAAAGTGTACTTCCAGTTTTTCACCAGCAGAGGGCCTTTCCGTATATTCGGGAGGATTTCAGCAGGAGATAGAGGCTCTTTCTCTGTTCTCTTTCTGTGTTTCTCAGTATGTGGATGCTGATGGGGGGTAGGTAGGGGGTATGGGGGGAGGGTGTTGTGACAGCTCTGTCACATTTTTCTGGGGCATTTCTGAACAGCCAGAACATCTTTATCCCTTACAAGATATTGTCATTTTGCTGTATTTTTGATTCACATTACATAATTGACATAATAATTACATAGTTATTACATTTGTATTTGAGTTATATTCTTCATTACAAGATTAAGTCTGCATTTTGTTCGGCATGGCAGAAAAAGAACATGGCAAAAAGGTATTTTTTTTTCCCTCACAAAAACAAGACTATACTCACACCAGTAACCTTTCATAAAATTGAAATCATAATAAAGTGTTTCCTCTTCTACTTGTGAACTCAAATGTGGTGCACAGTAGCAGATCCAGGACTGCTGTTTTGAAAGGGTGCACACAAAAACACACATGATTTCATTTTTATGTGTGATTTTTGGTTTATTTATGAATCAGATTTCTGTATTGGAGGTGCATTCGAGGTACATTCACTTTTGGTGGACCTCAACCACTACTGACACAATTCAATTGGTGGTCCCAACTGGAAGTTTAGAATCTGCGCTTTCCACAGAATTTCTCTCCTCATTTTAATGAGCTACAGGTGAGAAATAATTAACAATAATGTCAATAGAGTGATATGAATGCCAAGGGGAGCTAGGAGGCTTTAGCAGATGGTATCGGAAAAAAATAGATAATTATATTCATAATTACATTTTAAGAGAAGAAAAATCTATAATTAATAATCCTTAACTTGACTACATTTTTAATGGAACGCTTACAGCCCTGTCCTCTCCTCCTCCCATCCCACTCCCCCCCTTCCTTTGTCCTCCACCTGCTGTTCCGACTCTCAATCTTTGTTCTTGTAGCTCCTCACTCCTTTTCTCATCCAGCTCTTTTATTCCTATACTCTTTTTGCACACATTCCTCTTTATCCCTTCTGCACCTCTCCATAATTTCTTTTCCCCTCTTCTTCCTTTGTCTTCACCTCCCTCTGCTCTACTCCTTGATTCTTGCACTTCTCCTCTCCTCTTTCCATTTCACTCGTCTGTTCTCTGTCTCTGAGTCCAGGGCTTGAGAGCAGGACTTGTAGTTCCCTCAGTGAGCAGCAGAAGCTGTCTTTATACCCTGCATGTTGCATTAGTGAGAGCAATGAAAGCTTTTGACAATAGTCAACTGAAGTCACTTGTATCTAATTGAATAATGCAGACTGCGAACTGACTTATCTCTCATGCTTTCTTTCATTTTCTCTTGTTCCTGTTCAGTTGTGCACAACTTGAGTATAATTTTAGCCTGGATCAGATGTTTGGTGAGGGAGGAGAGAAGACCTTCAGGCCTGTATTGTATAGTTTTCTGCTAGAGGCTGAGGAAAGTGATGTAATCGTGCCTTCAGGAACACACACACACATGCTGGTTCCAGTCCACAGGTCCGGAGGGGAATTCCACACATCCAGACTCATGTGCAGAGTGCTAGCCAGCCTCATCTCCCTGGCAACATCTAATCACTGTCATCCCAGCACACGCATTGTGATGGGATTAGATAAGATTATGCTAATTTTTCCAGAACACCCACACACGCAGAGACACGCAGTAGGAGTGAGTGATGTGAGCTCAAATTTATATTGCAATATGTTCCACTCTAAACCATCTTGATATAATAAAAAAAGTATTTGTGTTTTATTATTATTATTATTATTATTATTATTAGTAGTAGTAGTAGTAGTAGTAGTAGTGATTGTGGTAGTACTAATCGTAATAGTAATGTAGTATTATTAGCAGTAATAATAGAATTGGATAGTGGTTGTATTAGTAGTTGTAGTAGTATAGTACCAGTAGTAGCACCATTAGTAATAAAGTGATTTATAGTATGAGTATTCATTGGTTTTTCATGGATTTAATTCTAATAATCACTTAGATTTCTAACAGTAGTCTTTGGTTTCCATTAGTTAATCTAAATACTTCTGTCTAATCACAAACTTATTTCTTTTACTTTTTTCAATGTTCACTATTGTTTATTCCTCATTCTTTATTCATATTAATATTGTGCATTATTGTTTTGCTATCCAGTGTCAACCAGAGGAGGATGGGTTCACGTTTTGAGTATTGGTTCCTCTCAGGGTGTCTTTCCATTGCTTTTAGAGAGTTTGACTGCACCTTTCTGTAAATCTGCATTGTGACAACATTGGTACACAAACAAGTTTGAGTACTAACTATAAGTAAATAGTAATAGTAATTGTGGTACTTATAGCAGAAGAAATAGTAGTCAAAGTATATTTAGAGTATTTGGCAAACACTCTTATCCAGAGGTAGGCAAAGGCACTGTTGAGAATCTTGCCCAAGGACTCTTATTGGTATAGGGTGCTTGTCCAGGTGGGGGATTGCACCCCAGTCTACAGTGTAGGCAGTGGTATTAGCCACTACACCATAACAACTATGCTGCACTATACCAACTACACTACTACTATACTATTGTAGTAGTAGTAGTAGTAGTAGTAGTAGTAGTAGTAGTAGTGATTAAAAATTTCAGTAGTGATGATAGTAGTAATAGTAGCAATGGGCTAGTATTAGTAGTAACAGTAGTAGAGATGATAGTCATAGTAAGAGTAGTAGTAGTAGTAATAGTCATTAGTAGAGGTAATAATCATAATTGTGATAGTAGAATAGTAGTAGTAGTGCTGTTAGTAATAATAGTAGAGATAGTAGTAGTAGTAGTAGTAGTAGTAGTAGTAGTAGTAGTAGTAGTAGTAGTAATAACATGTGTAGTAATCATTGTATAATTGTATAACCCCTCTCAAATGTAATAAATGACACTGATGTTTATATTGTGTGCTACACTTTTTTATAAAAAGGATTGATGGTTCTGGTTTAATTTGTCTTGGAGGTGAAGCTGTGTGTGATTTATTATTGAGATTATCACAGTATTCACAATATAGTTAAATCCATATAATTGGACATCATACTGGTGTTCAGCTGAGGGGCTGTAACTAGCATGTGTTCTGTCTTCTAGGAAGAACGTTATGAAGGTGTGTTTTTGTAATGTCCAGTGCTGCTGCTTAAGACTCCTAAGACTCTCTTGGATATGAAAGAGATCTGATGCATCATGTCTTTCTCAGGTCTATTTCCAGATCTGGTGACTGGTGGTCTAACAGGCTGTAAATGAGCTGACACTGGTATGTTCTCTGTAAAATACATGGTTGTGTGTATGTGTGTCCTGCAGGATTTTGGCCACCGTGGGCTCAGACTTTGACCTGAGGACGCTGCGGGCCGTCCGAGTGCTGAGACCTCTCAAGCTGGTATCAGGAATTCCCAGTAAGTGTGCAGAGGACATTGAGCTTATGATGAAAGATCACAACTAAAAACAAAACTATTTAACTCTCTATATATTATATAACTCTCTCTCTCTCTCATTCTCTCTCTCTTTCTCACTTTCTTTCTCTCTCCCCCCTCTTTGTGTCTTTTTTGCTGTCTCTCTCTCCCTCTCTCTTTATTTCTTTCTCTCTCTCTGTCACTCTTTCACTAACTTTCTCTCACTGTCTCTTTTTTTTACACTCCCTTGCTGTTTCTCTCCCTCTTTTTTGCCATTGTCTCTCTCTCTGATACTCACTTGCTCTCTTTTTTTCTGTCTCTTTCATGCTCTATATTTTTCTCTCTGTCTCTATCTCTCTTTTTCTCTGTTGTTCTCTCCGTCTTTCTTTCTCTCTTCTTCTTTTTCTCCCCCCCCCCTCTCTCTCTCTTTCTCTCTCTCTCTCTCTGTCTCTATCTCTTTCCCTCTCTCAGGTCTTCAGGTGGTGTTGAAGTCCATAATGAAGGCCATGGTTCCTCTGCTGCAGATCGGCCTGCTGCTCTTCTTCGCCATCGTCATGTTTGCCATTATTGGAATGGAGTTCTACATGGGCAAGTTCCACAACACCTGCTTCACAGAGACAGGTCAGTCTGATGTTTCTGGTGCTGTGTTGTTTTTCTTCAACACTCCTCTAATGCTGCTGCATCACTCCAATGTCTTAAATCGGCTTAGGCAAAAATACAATTTACACAGCGGTGTCTTTCCCTAAATGAGATACAGGATTCAGACTGACTGCTACTCAGAGGGGGCCCCACATCTCCAAAAGTGGTGGGGCAAAACGTATTGGTCCCCCCTCCCCGCCACTGACTAAAAAAAAACATTAATGCCATGCTAATAACAAGTCTATAAATCCATTCATGAACAGGCTCAGTGTTTGTTTTTGTTTTGACTGCGCTTCAGGTAGTAAACTCTGCTAGCTAACATGTCTGAAGAACATCAGGCTGAATTGTTTTCAAACTCGGTTCATTTTCTAAAGTACGCACCAATTTTGCAGGGTATCAAGTGCTCTGTTACGCTCACGTTTGCCGCCATGAAATAGAAAAAATAGAAAAAAGTGTATCACAATCATATCAGTAGCAGTAAATCACACGTAATATCTCCTTGTTTGTGATTGGTTTGTCAATATGAATGTAAGCAGTCAGGTTCCTGATGCTTGCCCAAAAATATGTTCCTTGATCAATTAACCACATCACACTATTGTTTTATTGCTTGTCTCTGAGCGTTTTTAAAGAGTAAACGGTCAGAGCCGGGAGACAGTACAGCGCTAAAGTGCACTGAGAAAAACATGCTCTGGTGTTGAATTCCCTCGTGAATTAGTTCTTCAGGGCAGACCTGAATATGGGCGAAGTGTTCACCGAACTAAAGAAGTAGTTCAGTAGGTCCGCACCATCCCCAGTACATCTGAACGCGATCTTAGATCAGCAATGTAAAGTTTAGCAATGTAACATATAAACTGTGGGCTGATGCATCATGTATTACAGTAAAAACACTTTTACCAGATCAGTGAGCTGCAACTACTCACTGAACACGACCCCATGAAGGCTTTACTGTTGGGGAAATGTCCCGCCCCCAGCTGACATGGACATTCTGATTGGTTCTGCCATTGAGTTTGACTCGGTCTGTTCGGGTCTATGGGTCACCTTCTTTATGATGTAAGCATTCTGAATGAAAGTGATGGGTCTTCGCCCCAGGACTTTGAAAAGTGGTGGGTCAAATGCCTGCTCGCCACTGTGGTTCCTCCTACTGGTTTTAGCTGTGCAACATAGGTTTGCTCATTTTTATAGTGAACTGTACGTCATGCAGTATCAGAAACCACATAAACAAGTTAATTTGAGATTGAACACAGTTTATGAAGTGTATAATGATTTAGTCCTGCAGTTTGCAGCCCTTGTCCCTTGTAAGCTTTCATCATGACAGGTCTAGATTCAGTCAGTCCACGCTCAGGACGTGATCATGCTGGGATTTTGTATTCCTCGATCCTGGCTCTGGCCAGAGGATGAAATCTGACATCATTAATCAGCTGAAGATTAATGAAACACACGCCTTTGAAAATGTTAACACATTCACTCTGATGAGTGATATTAAACAGTTTAAAAGCTTGTTAACTTTCAATATGAATTTTATCATGGGAAATAAGAAATCATCACGCTTAGCCTGTGGTAATTACATCTCCTAATGTTATTATTATGTTTTGCTACCATTCAAAGAATATTAATCCCAAATGAGTTTTCTGTCTTTAAGCCAAATGCCAAGGGAGTACTAGCATATCTGCACATAAACACGTAAACCTGGATATTTGTTTGCTCAATGATTTGTTCAGAATTTAATTTCTGTTATTAATTACAGTTTTTTTTTACACACACAACTGATTTAATATATATTCCAAACATAATTTCTATTTCCATTTTTTCACTGCATAACATCCTGCTGGTTGCCTGTTGGCCTCCTCTGTAACATTAGATCCACTGTGTAGAGTGTATGCCTAGTAGCAATAATATAATAATAAGCGATATTACAAAGTTTTTTTCAGTCATAAAATACTAGTTCGGATGTCCCTCATTTTTTCTTCAATAATGTTGATGGAATATATTTCCATTAAAATGTGTATGGAAGCAAACTGGATTTTTGCAGGTGAGTAAGCAGGTCAACATTTATAAAAGTGTATTTATTGGGTTTCAGTGCTGTTTTTGTTGTGGCAGTAAAACAATTTTTTGATAAAGAGAAAGTGCTAAACTAGCAGCTCAACAGTCACATTTCACACACACACACACACACACACACACACACACACACACACACCATACATTAACAACCAGTAAAGGCACAGAGAGCCAACAGTGTCCTAGTTAATGTTCTGATAACACAGTTAAGGATTTTTTTTTCTGATTATTTTCATTAAAAATATAATATGTTAGCTTTCATCCTGCAGACAGAATGGCCACTAGGGGGCTGTAAAAAGAGCTACAATGATGGTTAAGCCAAAAAATCAAATTTACCTATTTTTTCCCTCTCTGTAAAGGTAGTCAATCAGTAATGATGTTCAAAGTTTGCTTTTTGGTTTTGCACTGAAGCAACAAGGTTAATTATGGAAATAATGAAAGCTTGTACTTAAATCATTACACATCTGCCTTAAACTGCATTGTTTATTAATCTCAGATAGACTTGCTTAGGTTATTTCCATATAATGCACTATAATCTATAAATTTTGACAAAATAGGGGAAATTCAGTAAATTAGATTTTGGGGCAAACCGTCACTTTAAACTTTAAATAAAAGTACAGACTTCGCATTTAGGAATGTAGCATACTTTTAACAAATTCATACACACTTTTTTACTGACACATGAACCATCGTTTTAAGCTATATACAAAAAGCAACAAAAAACAATATTGCTGCATTTTTAGTTGTATTTTTACACATGGCCAGATCTGGGCTGTGGTGGTAGCAGAGTGGAGTCTCAGCATTTACTCAGAGAGCTCAGTGTTTTTATTGTCTGTAGGACTGTGGAGTTCATCTCTCTTTCATGCAGATGTCTCTCACTCACTCACTCACTCACTCACTCACTCACTCACTCACTCACTCATTCACTCTCACTCTCTCTCTCTCTCTCTCTCTCTCTCTCTCTCTCTCTCTCTGTCGGCTTGCTGATATTTACCCACAACCCCCTGCAGTCTCCTTCTCAGGGGTAACTGAGGACTTGTTAAAGAGTGATAGATGACACATTTTCTCTCTCTCTCTCCCTCTCTCTCCCTCTCTCATTCTCTCTCTCTTCTCTTTCTCTTTATCTCTCTTATCTCCCTCCTTCTGACCTATCTCTCTCTCTGTGTCTTTTCTACCTCTCTCACTCACTGTCTCTATCTCTCTCCTGCTAAGATTTATCTACCATATTTCTGTGTGTGTGTGTGTGTGTGAGAGATTAAGAAAGAGGTGTGACAGGTTGTTAATGTGCAGTGTGTGTGTGTGTGTGTGTGTGTGTGAGAGAGGAGAGTTATTTCAGTGAGCTGCTGTGTGTGTGTGTGCGTGTGTGTGTGCGTGTGTGTGTGTGTGCGCGCGTGTGTGTGTGTGTGTGTGTGTGTGTGTGTGTGTGTGTAATTAGTCTGTGTTGTAATGATTCTCCTGGTGTTCGGAGGTTGAGCTGTTAACATGCACCCAGCTGCAGCCGCCACCACCATTCAATCAGCAGCATCAGCAGGAGCTGCACTCCAGTGTGTGTGTGTGTGTACACATGCTTGTGTGTGTGTGTGTGTGTGTTTGTGTGTGTATGGAGAGATGTGAATTAACTGATGGCAGTGGAAAGAAGACAGGTCTGTTAACATTCAAAGTCAGTGCATATTTGTGTATGTGAGAGCAGATCATGCCTTCAGTTAACCCCTTCATAATAGATTTGTAGCAGTTAGATGCAGCTGTTGCCAGAATGCTGTACAGAACACTGACAAATATTCCGTTTAACCTGATAAGAAAATGGCAGCAGACGTAGTCACTAAGTTTGAAAGCTAGGCTACTGAGTGTATGCTGTTGTTGATTATTGAAACTGGGTGGATTGGAATTGACAAAGGTAAACATTTGTGCACCTAAACAGACAGAAAAACAGGAACATTAAACAGAAAAATCCTACCCGTACTAATAATGTGACTTTTCACATGCAATCAAAATATATATAAGAAAGATGAATACACTAAATTCAGATCTTTTAAAAAAAACTGCTGTTTGCTGCAACTACTGGTGTTTTTCTACAACACATTAGTGAATGGAGTGTGGATGGGTCTATTATATAGTAACCTCTATGAAACTAAGATGTAGAAAAGGTTATTATGAGAGTGAGGAGTTGACGTGTGGACAACATACAGCCCCTCAGAGAACACTCTCAGAAAAAAAGGTTCTAAGGAATGTCATTAGTGCCTTTGGTTAGCCTTTTAACGGTCACCCCATTTTTGCCTAAAACAACATACCCAAAGTGAAAGGAGCACTGTTGCCACATACTTTGGGACCCACAGATTTGCTAGCGTTTACACATCTGGTGCTTATGTTGCAAATGAGACATTGCATCACCATATTGCTGGATGATTTGATGCATAAAAATTATGTATCATTACTGGGAGTGAACGCTTCAATGAAAGTGTGGCAGTACCGGTACTGTGATCTAGAAAAGGTTAGGGAACATAAATGTACCATGTTCTGTTTGTGGAAATATATATTTTAAGATACATTGACTCTATACAGTCTTCATTCCATGTATTTTATTTATTTATTTATTTATTTTATATACTAGGTACCTTTCCTATGGGAAAGTGAATGTGGTGTAACTTTAAATCTCATTTATGGTACACAATTGTGTCCTAAGACCATTGTTGTACTGTACAATGTACAGTGCAGTATTTTTTCTGACAGCATGCAGGGGTGGGATGGTCCTGGAGGGCTGGATTCCTGCACATGTTGGTGATTTTCCAGCTCAGGCACATCTGATTTAACTTATCAGTTAGCTACCACGTTTTGTTGGAGTGTTAGAGCAAGAAAAACATTCAGTTATTGACTGTGTAACTCTTTATTTTCTGTCCCCTCTGTGTGGTTGGTGTGGGTGTATATAGGAGAGCAGGCAGCAGATTACCCGTGTGGGATGGAGCCTCCTTCAAGACTCTGTCCCAATGACACGGTGTGCAGAGAGTACTGGAAAGGACCGAACTTCGGCATCACTAACTTCGACAACATCCTGTTCGCCGTCCTCACTGTCTTCCAGTGCATCACCATGGAAGGATGGACTGATATCCTGTATAGTGTGAGTAACCTTCGGAACCAACATATACACCCAAATCACGTTATACGAGCAAACGCAGACCCTCATGTACTAAACCCCTCCCAAATCCCCCCATACAGGCTTTGTAGAATACAGATTGTGTTTTAATCTCCAAGGCTTTAGTGTGTGTGTGCTACACTACAGCTCAGAACACTTGACATGCTCTGTTCTGCTTGTCTAACTCCAGAAATCTGCAGGGGCACTGACTGACTCTACCAGTGATAAAACTCAGATCCTGTGTGTTTTGATATGAATACTGAATTTGTACCAAGATTTTGGAAACCTTACACCTTGTGATAGTATATGCCTACTTTTATTGGTAAAATATATTCTCACCTTCCACATTTGAAACAAATGAGTGTGTTTGCACTGACTGGTCATTTTATAAGCTCCACCTACCTTATAGAGTCATATACAAAAGTTTAGGTACCTCTTTTAGAAAAATCAACAAAAATAGGCTAATTTGACCAGGGGTGTTCAAGCCTCTGCATATCACTGTAGGTCCACTGTACTGGTATACAATTACAGACTGTAGCCCATCTGTTGTCATGTGCAGTTTATCAGCCTTCTTCTACCCCTTTCACCATCGGTTAGTTTCAGACCACAGGACCAGCTGCTGACCAGACAGCCTCAACAGAACATTGATACTGACACGGTAGTGGAATGGTGCTGTGGGATGTACTGGTACAAGTGTCAGGCAGAGCAACGTCGAGGGCTGTTAATGCATAGGCTTCCTTAGGACCTCAGGTTGGGAATGGCCGTAAAGGCTACTGGAGTAAATAACAAGAAAGATTTGACCACTGCATCAGTGTTGTGCTGTGCTCCGCAATCAGCAGTCTGGGTTCTGAGTTCTGAGTGGGGGCAGCTGAAGGAGGAGGCATTGAAAAATTGAAACAAAAATAATAATAACCTCTATGATTGATAACCTTTTGTGTCATATCCTTTGTATAATTCAATGAAAACGGTGGGAAGCATGATAATGCAGTAGTAATGCAGATTCCCTTATATGTATCACATATACATCGTGTTAAGTGAACTTAGTTGAAGTTGAGTAGCAATTATGTTGTGAAAATATGCAAAACAAAGAAGACAGTCAAATTTATTTAGAGAGTTCAGGATAGTTTAGCACAATAACTATGTGTACCTGCACACCAGTGGTTCGATATAAGTTGAACCTAGGCTGCTACATTGAAAAAAAATGTTGCTTAAAGGTTACTTTAAATTTACTTGATTCAAATGTGTACATTGGCCTAACATTAATGAAATATGTTACATTAACATAATTACTGTGTACGAGTACTTAATTAACTGACTTAATTAAACTTGATGTAATATTTCATTGGTGTGGAACTGATGTACGCATTTGAATCATGTAAATACAATCACTTTTTACAGTGTTGTCTGACTAAGTTATAAAAATGTGAACAATACAGTTTGACATAGTTCGAAGAAGGTCATGTTCATCCTAACCTTAACATGTGGTCCAGGCTGATGGACTTTTGAGATAGTTAGACACACGGATCACTCCACTGACATGCTTATGAAGCATCTGTGACATTTTGTGACCTTTTCAGTAGTACCATGTGTGATGACAGCTTTATGAAAGGTAAAAGACTGTAAATAGAATAAACTTGTAAACATCTTGCTGGGTTTCTTAAACTAAGACCTTACCAGGATCACCATCAATTCACCAACAGCTTTCTCTGAACATCTTTCGGCAGGCTGCTAAATTACAGTATTTTTGCCTAGCAAGAGCAAAGTAAAGAGGATATGAACCAAAGGTAATCTGACAGCCACCTGACAGTAGGCTGGCTAATGTTACCTAGGTAATATGGCTATGGCTACGCTAAGCCTGTGAAACAGATAGCGACAAATGGTATTTAATATGGCTACGCTAAGCCTGTGAAACAGATAGCGACAAATGGTATTTAATATGGCTACGCTAAGCCTGTGAAACAGATAGCGACAAATGGTATTTAATATGGCTACGCTAAGCCTGTCAAACAGATAGCGACAAATGGTATTTAATATGGCTACGCTAAGCCTGTCAAACAGATAGCGACAAATGGTATTTAATATGGCTAAGCTAAGCCTGTGAAACAGATAGCGTCAAATGGTATTTAATATGGCTAAGCTAAGCCTGTCAAACAGTTAGCGTCAAATGGTATTTAATATGGCTAAGCTAAGCCTGTCAAACAGATAGCGACAAATGGTATTTAATATGGCTAAGCTAAGCCTGTCAAACAGATAGCGACAAATGGTATTTAATATGGCTAAGCTAAGCCTGTCAAACAGATAGCGTCAAATGGTATTTAACAATCATTAGCTAGCCAGCTAGTTATTTCTAAATCTGTAAATGAGGCCGAGAGTTGTCCCACCCAAACATATCCAGCCAGGGGCAAGTCTGAAACTGACCACTGCTAATGGATGGCTAACACAAAATATCCATAATACACCAGCAGAATGGAGCTACTCGGTTTGTGTTTCTTAACAAGTGTCTGGTTACTGTAGGAATGTAAACCCTTAGATGAATTTGAATGTGGAAGAAAAAAATTTTGTCAATATACAAATTGCTGTAGATGAAAATTCAGTCGTTTGACCCTGTTTACTTCTGTAAGTGAGATGTAAACATAGTATAAAGATAGATTTCTAGTAATTCCAGTGCAGGTCACAGCATCACTGTTTCCCAAAAGCATTGCAGTGTTGAGCTCATCTTAACTTTTACAGAGTGTTCAAAGTGATCCTGGCTGTGCGCCGTCTTCCAGCCATCTTTGTGCTGTGAAAGCCTTTGGGAAGCCATACCCTTCGCAGTGGGGGTCCTACAGGGCTTTTGGCTCGAAGGACTGCCCTAGCAGGCTGGCAATGTTTCACCTGGCCTCCTCTCAGTGGCTGTGAAATGCTGAAATGCATCACAGTGCCAGAACGTGGTGGGGGGGCAGCATATGCCCCTCTCCTCCTGCTTCGCTGTCAGTGTGTGGAAGAAAAGGAACACATTAGCAAAAGCTGCCTGCATTCTCCACCCAGCTGCACAGCCACACTGCCTCATTCACTCTAATACTCACTCGCCCAGTCTTTCTTTCTCTCTCTCTGCTTATCTCTCTCTTTCTCTGTCAGAGCGTTCCTCACAAACAGAGAGGGTTGTTCTCACTATAGGGCAGACAGTCTTCACACAGGCTAATGGAAACTGAGAACACACTCTGATGTCTGTTTCTTCTCGTAGTGTAGACATGTTTCTTCAGAAAACTCAGCACCTCCTTACGTCCTTCAGCATGTTCAGATCCTCTTCTAAATGGTATTCTGTTGTTGTGCAGAGATGTTTCTGCTGTACACCTGTGGAGTTGGTTCTCATTCTTCTTCTAGATGTTTCGTAGTTCCAGGGACACTAAATGTGTATTGTAAGAAGAATAAGCATGCAGAGTAACATAGAAATGCTGAAATGCAACACAAGGCTTTAATATTCTGTCACTGTCATAACATAACCATTTCGGAGATGTGAAGTTATCTATACTTTACAGAAGAAGGGAAAAACATTCTTAATATAATTTTAAATTTCTATAATATATTTTGCAGAAATATATTAATGGATTTCTGCATAATTGAATTTAGATAGAAACAGTCATTCAGAGTGGTTTGACATTAAATGCTCCATTCCAGAGAAGATCAGAATCTTTCACAGTGGTGAAACCAGGTATCTGAGGAGTTTAATGCCTCTAAAACGCTACTTCAGGGAAAATTATTATATCAAATGGTAACAATTACACTGTCTAATGCATGTGACGATAATTTTCAGCTACGGTTTTGGCCTAAAATATATTTTTTAAATGGTGCGGTACGAGGGTGTCGTAAAGGAAAGAAGTCCCCAAATAAAACATTTCTGTTCTGATTCATCACTGTTTTATTATCAACATCACATATAAAAACACATGTAGGGTTTACGTTCACAACCCCTGGTTCCTATCACCACCACTGTAAAGAAATCCAAGTGAGTAAGTTCTCTACAAGGTACCATTTTACCTTGTAGCAAAATCTTTTAGTTCTCAATACAAAAATTTAGAAAAATCATTGGAGCTGCCCCTTTAACTACATTGTTCATAAGTATATTTGACACCTACATAAGCCCTTCATTACTGCTGACCTAAAGCAGAATAAACATTTATAAAGACTTATAAGGATTCCAAATGGTGTCAGCTGGCACACAGGCTGCTTTTCGCAAGTTGACATAGTGTCAAGTGACAGTGTTGTTGACAAAAGGTTATAACACATTCTGGTTTGAAGTTGCACACAATGTAACAACAACTGAATTTGCAGCTTAGGGTATCTCTAGTGTATGTCAGTGTCATAATGCTGATGATGTAACATTACTTGCCATGTGAGGCTAGCTGGAGAATTGAAGTTAATGTCACATCAGTGAGTGCGTTTACATGCAGTTAATAATTTGATAACTGCAGAAAATCAGATTTTGTCAGAAATCCTATCATCACTTTTTCATACACTTGAGTAATCAGATAATGGAAAATTCTGGGTGTACATAATTCTGGCAGTAATCGGATTTCTGTTTTGCAGCCAGCCAATAAACTCACAGAATAAAACGTGATGTAAACATAACGTAAAACTCAAAACTTTAGGCAAAGGCTTCAAACATCAAACCACTTTACCTGAAAATATAAACATACAGCATCTGCAAGATAAAGAATATTTAAGCCCTTCATTTTGTCAAACATGTAGATGGTTTCGTGAGTGCTGTTTTAAACGCTGCTTGCTTATTTCCATTACCGTGGTTTGTTTTCGTACATACACAAGAGAAATCTGTAAGAAATCAGAGTAAGAGTACACATGCACTGAGAAATCCGATTACTGAGCTAAAATACAGCTCTCTTAATCTGATTTCTAGACCTTACTTTGATCTAAGAAATCGGAGTATGCTGTTTACATGATCATTCGAATAATCAAATGCAGAAATCCGATTATGATCTGATTATTAA